GGGGGGGGGGGGGGGGGGGGGGGGGGGGGGGGGGGGGGGGGGGGGCACAGCAGCAAACAATAGCAACAGACCAACAACCAAAGACTTGCCTGGCACCACCCTCCCTCCCGCGCGCGAGCAACATCGCCAACCCGAGCAGTTGGCGGCGTCAGACATCAAGCACGGTGAGGAGGGGGTGGGGCGGGGGGTGGGAACCGCAACACCATCCGCCGCAGTACACCGATCTCCTTGTCTAGTAGATAAAGCTGGCGCTCGAGCTGCGGCTGCGAGTTATAATGCCACCGCCGCTGACCCCGTCGGCGATGCCGGCCTCCCTCTCCCCCCTCTCTTCTCGCATGAGCTGCAGGTCCGAGCTGCTGACAACGGCCACCAGCTTGCTGCTGCTCAGGGAAGACACCAGCCTGTGGTTCGTCGGGTACACCCTCAGGTTCATCAAGTCCGAGCCATGGCTCACGGAACTGCCACAATCCGACCACACGGGGGACAGGGGGGGGCGGGAGGATCAGGACGAGGGACGGGGGGTGTCCAATTGTTACTTGCCGTACATCCTTCACGTCATCAACATATTTACGATGCGATCTCTGTCGAGGAGCGTAAAGCATTGCGTTTATGTGCCAAGTCTCGACTCGCGTCTCCATCCCCTGCACTCAAAAAACAAACCCAACCTTTTTCTGCCCTTGGGGGTGTCTCCACTGACACCGACACCCAAAAAAAAACGGTCGCACACATCCAACTCGCGTGTTCCACGCGTCGTGGTTTTCCGCCCTTGATGGGGTCTCCACCAACACACACTATATCAAACGGTTCATACATCCCAACCAACCAATGACATTTTCAACTAGCGGGTTCCACGCGTAGTGGTTTTCCGCCCTTGGGGGGGTCTCCACCAACACACAAAAAATCAAACGGTTACATCTGCATACATCCCAACCTATTACATAAAACTCGCGTGTTCCACGCGTAGTGATATTTCCGCCCTTGCGGGTATCTCCACCGACACAAGGAAAAAATGAACGGCGGCTACAAACCTATTAATATGTAAAACTCACGTGTCCCACGAGTGGTGGTCTTTCTTGAGGTGGAACTCGGCGGCTAGATCGTCTGCGATCTGCTCGAGGGTCTTGCCCCGGGTCTCAGGGACGCAGAAGTAGTAGAAGAACACAGACGCCTTGTCAAAAAAAACGGCAAATAAGAGAAAAACACGACATGCAATGGAAAGCAGGAAAAACATGGCAATAAAACAAAGTAGCGTCGATTGAGCGATCGCACGGGATGCAAAGCAGGAAGTGGGTGCTGGTACCGGCAGTCAAACCGACAGTCGGCACTATTTATCCTGTTGTTTGTTCTTTGGAATGCCTTTTCTCGTAAGTGGCTCTCGATGACGGGTAAATCTTGCGACGACAATCCGACTCGAGGAGAATCCACAAAAGCCGGAGTAGTTGGGATGCCCAGGGGCGTTGGCTGTGCAGGAGGACTAGATGCACTAACGCACGCTCCTGCCTATGCTCATATCACCGGCACAGGACAGAGAGCCAAACCCCGGATCACAAAAAAATCACTAGCAAGACTGTCGAACTAAACACATGTGACGCCCACGTGTGAGGACATCGCTGCTTTTTTTCCTTGGAGGGTCTTAGGGGCACTTCAAAAAATCGTCACCACAAGTTTCCATCAAGAAAGATTCGGATAAAATACGGTCTATCTACGCCTCTGGTGAAAATCAAGTTCTGTAACCGACTGGTCCTACGGGGTAACGACGATGACACGTGTGATCGTCAGACACCTCCCCCCTCCAAGCTCACCAACGAGATGAGGGCGAACGTGAGGAACGCTCCCCCGGGGGTCAACGCCTGCGAAATGCTGGAAAAAAAATAAAAACGAGTCGAGCCGCGAGTAGGAAGCAGGAAGGAACGAACAACGCGCGTTCGACGGTAAAAAAAAAAAGTCAAAGCTCTTCCCTTACTACATGAGTGGCAACACACAAGGGACCGTTAGCTTGGACGAGAGGATACGCACAGCCGCAGAATACGACAATCGATGAGTCACATAGAAAGAAAAGTCCGGCAATAGTGGTCCGGCAGCAACAATTTGGCGAATATCCAGGTCACGCGCGCTGACAACGGTGGCAAAGGCAACAACAAAGTACAGTTTGAGCGTTACAGGATAGGTCAAGAGAAAAAACGGAGGCTACGCCACTCGGAAAGGGGCACGAAGCAGACACAGACCCGCACACGCATGGTAAGTATCAGAGGAGCTGGCGTCTAGCTAATATTGGTCAAGCCGCAATATCTCATGAGTGGACGGATTTGTCACTCGGGCTGTCTATCCGCCGCACGGGGGATCGTGAGCATGCAAACACCGCTGACTCATACCACCTTTTTTATCACCCGAGCAGCGTCGTGTTGTTGGTCGTGTGGCATTTACGACACGTACGACACAATCCCCATCTGCTACCGTCGTGTGTACAACGTCAATGTTTCGGTCGGATGACGCATCAGACACCCCCGTTCATATCGGAGCCGCCGCCCCCCCTCCCAATACCGACGAGCAGGTCAAGCTTTCGGCAGAGACAGAGAAACGCAATTGACGTTGCCTACTAATCAAAACGCACATAGCCTCCGAAGATAGTGAAAACACAAGATGATATACGTGCCCCAAAACCTGAACAATGAGGTGAGCAATCCCTGGTACGTAGTGAGGCATGCACACTGCCGTCTTGTCTACCGGTGCTTCCGCCCCCAGCGCTACTACTTCCGGTTTGGGCGTCCATCAGCGTTCAAGGCACCATGATACATTTGACATGCGTACCTGAGGAAGGAGGTTGCGATGAGCCCGCTCAATAAGCGGTTGACGAAGACCACCAAGCTCACTGCCTTACCGCGGACCTGCATCGGGAAGACCTGCCGTTTGGTGGAATCACAACCACAAAAAAAAAAGGGGACAAGAACGAAACAACGTTAAGAAAACACTCGCGATATTTTTACAGTACGCGTAGCACACAGAAACTTAGCTTGTGTATGTGTATGTGAATTTTGTACCTTTTTTTTTTTTGCCCAGGACGGAAGGAGCGGTGACACCGCTCTTTGAAACCCAAAGCCCCCGCGACGACAACGCACGTTAGCGGTCCCAAGTCTCTTCTCTCCCCCCTCCCCCTCTCATAATCTCGACTGAGAAAAGATACACGAGCTGTCGCTACAACGAGCGACAGCTGATAGGTGTAACTGTCGTCAGACGTGTGCGTCCACGGGCGGAAACAGAGTGCCAACACCACACACTTGATACTACACCTTCCTGCTGTGCTGGTGTGAGATCTGTCATTAACTTCCACCTACCGGTTACCCCCCCCGCCCCC